GCGGGCCTAAGCCAGCAGGTGGTCATCCCCTGAGGGGTCCCAGACTGCGAGAGGGCACAGGCCGGGCTGAGAGACCCTCCCGAGTGCACAAATTTTTGTGCACCAGGCCTCTAGTTATTATTTAAAAGTCTACTCCTTCACCCAGTTTCCTAATTTGAGTTGACACTCATCAATTTCTGTAGAATTTTGGCTATAGGACTAGGCCACAGGGAAGGTCTGAATATGTAAGTCATTTGGTTAGAAAAAAATGTTTCTGTGAGACTTGGAGGAAGTCATTCATCACTTTGTGCCTGAAGGCTTCCTTAGTGAACTTTTTTCCAGTCTTCAGAGTAAAGCACAGGATCTGGGCTCCAGGAAGGGGTTGCTGCCCGCTGGAACACTGACCAGCAGGGCATCCTTGCAGGCATTCTGCATGCAGTACTGCTGAAGCTCGGCAGCTGCCTGAGAGACCTTGATCCTCTCCACACTGGCCTCCAGCTTGAGCTGCTCCACCAAGCGCTGCAGGGCATACATGCTGGCCCTGGAGGACATGGCCGCAGGTGGCTGAGTGGCTTTAAATATTTCTTATTACTTTTCCTGCCTGCAAAGTTTCTGTTGAGAAATGAGCTGATAGTCATATGGGCACTCCCTTGTAGGTACCTAACTGCTTTTCTCTTGCTGCTTTTAAGATTCTCTATTTGTCACTAACCCTTGGCATTTTAATTATGATGCCTCTTTGGGTTCCTCTTGTTTGGGACTCTGTGCTTCCTCGACTTGTAAGTCTATTTCTCCACCAGGTCAGGGAAGTTTTCTGTCATTATTTCTTTAAATAGGTTTTCAATATCTTATTCTCTCTCTTCTCCTTTTGGCACCCACATAATGCTAATGTTGGTATGCTTGAAGTTGTCCCAGAGGCTCCTTTTACTATCTTCATATTTTTGGATTCCTTTTTCTTTTTGCTCTTCTGATTGTGTGATTTTTGTTTCCTCATATTCCAAATCATTGATGTGATTCTACTCTACTGTTGAATCCCTATAAATTATTCTTTATTTCAGTGAGTATATACTTAATTTCTGCCTGGTCCTTTTTCATGTCTTTGGTGTTCTCACTAATTTCCTTGACATTCTCACAAAGATCCTTGAAATTCTCAGTAAGTCCCTTGAAGCTGTCCTTAAGATTCTTGAGCAATCTTATAACTGTTGTTTTGAACTCTGTATCCAGTAGTTTGCTTGCTTCTGTTTCTTTCATTTGTGATGTATTTCTTTGTCTCTGCATTTTGGCTGCTTCCCTGTGTTTGTTTCTATGTATTAGGTAGAGATGCTATATCTCCTGGAATTGGTAGAGTGACCTTTTGTAATAGTTGTCCTGCAGGGCCCAGTGGCTCAGTTTCCCCAGTCACTTGAGCTGGGAGCTCTATGTGCAACCCTGTGTGGGCTGTGTGCATAATCTTGTTGTAGTTGAGCCTTAATTGCTATTGGTGTCACTGGGAGGACTTGAACTCTAGGCCAATTGGCTATGAGGACCAGCTGCTACTACAGTGGAAGAGCTGCTGTGCAGGAGACACCCCTATGGTGCAGAACTTGCTTCAGTGGGGCTTTGGTGCTCACTGAGTCTGTCCTTTGAATGTGTCACTTGTGAATGTGTAGAGTTGTAATCTGGTATGGTCAGAAGCTGTCAACTGGGTGCACTGGCTCTGGGGCCTCCTAGTAGGTACAAAGTAAGCCACTGCCTGAGGTCACCCAGCAGGAGCTACAGAATGATCTGCAGATGGCTGCTACTTGTGTTGTGCTTGGAAGTTCCCAGGGGAGGCCAAGTTGTGAAACAAGGCAGGCTGGTGCTAGTGCCTGGTCTTAGGCCTCTCATTATTTTTATTTTTTGTTAATACTCACTGATGATATTTTTCCATTGATTTTCAGGGAGGGAAAGACAGAGAGAAACATCGATGTGAGAGAGACACACCAATTGGCTGCCTCTTCCCAGCTCTGGGACCCTGGGCCGGGGGTCTGGTGTGGGGCTGGGACCCCTGGATTCTCGTAGGAGGCCTCCACAGCGGAGATAACCCACCTGATTAAAAAAAAATCACCACATGTGGGTGTCAGATCAGCCGGCTCTGTGCCTCTGCCCCTGCTACCAGTCTCAATGTACTTTCTTGTTTACTTTTCTGGTTGTAAGACTTCCATTCAGTCAGATTTCAGGCAGTTCTGAATGATGGTTGTCCTGTATTTTAGTTGTAATTTTGATGTGGTAGTTGGAGATGGTGAGCATTGGCATTTACCTACACCACCATCTTGGTTCTACTTGTTAAGAGTGAATTTTCAAATGCCGACTCTAAGTTAACCTATATGTTAGGTGAACTAGTTCACATTTTTAAAACCTATGGCCATGTTATGGATGTACAGCCCTTTCTGTGTGTATGTGAGGAAGGAAGACAATGACATTTTTTTCTGTAACAATCCCTTGCCTGATGCCAAATTTCCTATTGCTAATCCTTTATCCTGATTCCTCTCCTAGAGAATCTTGCTTAACTTCAAACTTCTGGGCAAAAATGTCGGCTGACAAAACACAAGGTTTAGATTTTTAAAGTGACACAGGAATTTTTGATCCTGTCTTCTAGTGAGCTCCAAGATTTTTATCACTTTGATTCATCATTGTGAGAATGAACTCATGATAGATTGAATTCCCTCCAACATATACAA